GAGCTTGTTAAAATATATCTAATGATAGTTAAATTATCTTAATCAGCCTGGTGGATGCTAAGATATCTTTAAAAAACCTTTCTTTAATTATGTAAATTTCTTTAAGATCAAAATATTTAATCATTTATCAAAATATTTAAATTATAATAAAAACTTTTAAACTTTGAGTAAAAACATCTTGACAACCATATAACCAATTTTAATAAAAATTTATTTCAATTCTACTATTGTGTAGAATCAAATAAAAAAATCTTTACTGAATTTGATTAAGTAGTTATCGTGATATTTGTATTTTCGCTTAAAGTTTGATTAACGCAAATAAATCTTCAATTTTGTCCAATCAGATAATAAGATCAGGTTTTTATCTAATCGGGAAATTTTATTGCAAATGTTACAGAGTATGCATGGGTCATGGGAAATTAACAACGATAGACAAATGCATGCGCTAAAGCGCGTAAGAGCTCTTAAAGGATTACATGTAAGTACACTGAGAAATTTGAGGTTTAGGCAAAGATTCTTCTATGAGTTCCTTTGCTGTAGCTAATGTTATACTACCCTTCTCTATCATTTTTCGTGCAATACTCGTGATATCGTGTGATGGACAACTACTGTTTGTTTCATTCTCATAGCAACGTAATGCTGCAAAGGCTATGTTGGTGGCATGTAATTTCATATGGCCGTGCTGAATACCTTCAGTAGCCAGTGCACGGAGAGAAGCGAAATTTTGTGCAAGACCTATACATACCATAATCTAGGAGAGGAAAGAACTAGAGGTTTAGATGTTTATCAAAAAACAACCAAATTAAAGATAATACACGTAAATATATATACCATGGAGAGTTCTTTGGCGTTAGGGTTTCCCATAATTCCCATATTGTGTAAATAAACAGGATTTGTATTTATGACACCGCCAGCGGTACCAACTGTTATGGGCAATTCCAATTCCCCGCAAAACATTAAACAGTCATCACCCTCTTTTCCACAGGCTGCTAACTGATCATCTTTTTCAATCCAATATGTTGTCAAAGGACGATAATTATTGGATTGAGAATAGTCGTCTCTTACTCCATCGCAAGCCCAAGCATGGGATGATGCTTCAATAGCACGCCAGTCTTGACCTGTCGCCAAAGCAACAGCATCAATCCCATTCATTATGCCCTTGTTGTGGGTTATGGCTCTGTAATAATCGACTTCGGCCCATTCGTAAGCTTCAATGATACGTGCAGCTACTTCTTTACCGGTATATGATTTATAAGAGAGCAGAGATAATGGTATCCGGAAAGACGCCTAATAAATCATGGTTAATTTATAAGTCGAAATATTATTACGAATATTATTAATCAGTTACTGAATTACCTTGGCCATTCTTTCCACACTTAAATTACTCAAAATTCTCAAACCAATTCGACCACCAGTCAATTCAGAAAGGCGAGGTGCCACGCCTTCGGCGATCGTGCTTGCACAATTAGCACCCATAGCATCACACACATCAATGTGCAAATGCACTACTAGCAACTCTTTGAAATTTTCAGAACTAATTGGATGATGCTTTTTATTTCGATTATTTATACGTGAGATCCTTCTAACTGACATATCAAATACGCCACCCCCTCGTTTGACCATGTTGTTACAAAACTGGTTTGCAAATTTAATGATACTTGGCTTTTGATGTAATAACTAAGAACATTTTTCGTAAAAAAAAAAATAATAATTAGGGGCTGACAAAAATAAGCTCGTCATATCCCTCCCGGGATTTTAATTTATTCCCAGAACAGTCTAAAACGACATATAGTAAATAGTGGCCATTTACTGCCATTGTTTAAAGTACAATTTTAATATAATGTGTGTCAAGAACTATACTTTTGAAATGACCACTATTTAAATAGGTCGTATTAGCCCTACCCACTCAGTTATTTGACTAAATGTATATAACACAAGATAAAATTGAACTTGTCACTTGTATTGTATATAAGGTGTAAAATAGCAGACCTCTCGAATGCACGCCACATTCTAACAACGTGCATTTATAGAGTGATTAGAAAGTATTTTGGCCAGAAATTGTGTGTACATTTAGAGAGTTGTGTGGGTGTACTTACCGTATTAATGTGAACCAACGCGCAGGGGCGCTATTTTGAACAATGGCCCGAATTAAGCTTAATTTAGGCCAAAATTCGAAATTACACCACTACGCGTTATTTCGCGCTTATATGTGTTATATTAGGTTTTATCGCATGACAAATTCGATTTTGTCACATACAATGACTCTGAGAAAGGTCAAATTAAAATCCCAGGAGGGTAATATATTTGTGATAAATAAATAGATGGCCTCAGACCTTATTTACGGCAAGATTCATGGAATTTTGAGGTATATCTAAAAGAACAACCTGGGCTATTATCGAATTTCTTTCAGGAGCCACCGCAGTGAACCCCTTAAATGATGAAATTGTCTTAGCCGCTCCTGAAACAGCGGCAATAACCGAAGGTTCTTCGATCGCCATGGGGATAATTATTGGCTTTTCATTGATTATAAAGTTAAGAGCCAATCCAACCGGTAAACCTATTGTCCTATTTTTTACCAGTATCAAATTTTAGGTTCATAGTTTGATCCCACAAGATAATAGCAAAATCAAGACATTTACCCTACGCAATTCTCAATCATTTTGTCTGCAATATGCTCGTCAAGGCCATTTATTGGAAATAGATCCTGATCAATATTTAATGATTCTAATTTTTTTACTAGGTAGTTGAATTGTTCATTATTTATGCTATTGAGCGTATCATTTGCTTCGGAATTTTCTCGAGAGATAGGAGAATTGCAAATAGAAGTTAAAGGTGTAGAATAAACAGAGGGAACAATACTTGTAGCAGACGAAGGTAGGTTGAATAAATCTGGAAAAGCGATCTTTAGTTGATTTTGACGTTCCTTTAAGGTCTTTTTATAAAAACCTGACCAGACTGAGCCATGAAGATTAGGATTCATGTTAGGACTCAGTTGTCTGGTCAGCGTTTTTCTTAAGTTAGAAAAAAATAAAGATAGTGATTTTCTAAAACAAAGTTTTTTTTTTTTCTTTTTGACAAATGGGTTTCATGATTATTAGCGCATTTTATATAAATTGTTCTCTTTGAGCATTGTTCTTTTTCATGTTTATATTATGTGGTTTATATTGTGCAATAATGATTGTTCGGTAAATTTTAGACAATCTTCTAATTCGTAATTCTGCTAAAGTTACCAAAAATGAAAAAACAAACATCAGATTGTTAAAACCGATACAAATTAATTTTGTCATACAACCAATTAAAAACTGCTGATGGGATTCTAAACCTGTGGGTGTGGCCCATCAGTCAATTTACATAGTGCAGGGTTACTAATAAAGATTTGATCTGCACTCTATATCAAACGACTGTTAAAAAAAGACTTTACTTTTCTCCTGTAATATTTAATGTCGCAGCTGATGCTGAAAACGGCTGATGCTGAAATTTTGGGGTCTCTGTTTAGAACTATAAAACTTACTAAAACCCATCTATACACTTTAATTAATAAACCCTGACCCTAAACTCTACTCTAACTATTATATGAAGACAAAAAATGCACCCCAAAAAATTGTAAAAATTTAAAATTTCAGCATCAGCTGCGACATTTAATGTTTTGCACATGTGGGCCAGGGACGTGTAAATTCTGTGATTTGCTGTGATCAAAGAAAATCGCAAAAAGCATGTGGTTTTCTGCGATTTGCTTCGATTTGCTGCGATATATTTTTTATCTAGTAACTATATAGTATTTGATTAATAAA